TAATGGCTTTGGTAAGAACTCTTATCCGAGGTTGCCTTTTTTATTAATTGTCATTGAATTTCCCACAGCAAAGACTGAACTAAATTCTTTGATGAAACTGAGTGAAGCAAGAATGAAGTTCACAATCTAGAACTTGATTAGAGATTATCAGAATCATAAGCACTGTTTAGGTTTTGGATTCAAGTAATCTAGAATTTTGATTACAGATTATCAGAATCATAAGCATTGTTTAGGTTATGGCTTCAAGTGATCTAGATTTTGACTAGAGACTATCATCTGAGCACACAAAAGACAATTTTTATAAATGCATTGAATGCTATTTGCCTACTGTAGTTTAGATTGTTTTGCTCATGTATCTTCCAAAAGGAAAAAGTGATAAGTGCACTGAGAAGTTTGGTGAGTGACACCTCCTCCTGCTCCACTCTCCTCCCCAACCTACATCTGCGTCCCCTATAAATTTCAAGAGAATGAGGGCTGTAACTCGTCAAATTCATAGCAAATCAACAAGAGGTCGGGAAAAAAAAAGATGAGTTCATTTGATATTAAACTTGTTATACTGTCTCTGAACTTGCTCTTCGTCACCCTATTGGAAGCGCGCCCAAAGGCACATGTGACTATTATAGGTAACGTGGAGAGAGGTACTCTTACGATTCATTGTTACTCCGGAGGCAATGATCTCGGAATCCGTGATCTCGCCTACAACCAGTCTTTTCAATTCAGTTTTGTGCCCAACATTTGGGGTAGTACCAAGTTTGTCTGTGACTTCAACACTCAATTCGGTTCAGGAAATTATGCTGTTTACGATAATCTAATGGAATCTCAAAGATGCGGTTTGTACTGTGTGTGGTACATAAAGGAGAACGGGCCATGTTTAGTGCTAAACCCGAAGCACAACCTGTGGTGCCAACCGTGGAAGAATCCAAGCAAATGGTTGCACGAAGCACATCAAAATTGAGTAGCTAAATACAACATATCATTGAAGGCATAGTTTCTTGGTTGATGGGTTGTAACTAGGGTTTTCCTCCGCCTTAAGTGAGGGTCTTTTATGAATAAATGTCTGTTTTGGTTAAAAAAATAATATATATATCATTGAAGGCATTTCCAATTGAAGTGCTTTCTTCTTCTTCTAACTGTTGTTGGCCTGAATAATAGTAAACATTTATAGAATAAAAAGAATTGCTTTTGACTCTAGCACAAAGTTCGAAATATATGAGTTCGAGCGTAAAGGCCGGTTGGCCCAAGCCACAAAAAGTTAGAAGCCAGGCTATGCTTTCCCATGCAAGGCTATGTATATGTGAATGAATAATGTTATCTAGCACCAGCTGTGCTAGAGTATCGGTTTAGTTGGTCACACTCGATAGATTAAATTGAATGAATCATGCGATATTGCATTTAGGTAAATCAATCATTTAATTCCATGTAATTACCACATAAATGGTGCTTAACACCAGTGGTATTGAATAACATTAGTCTATCTGAATGGTCTAACACATTTAGATACATGAACTGCACAACGTATAATGACATATTTTAGGGGTAAAACAAAACTACTGCTACGCGGTGTCAAGGATCGCAGCTTCAACTAGCCCCTTGACCCAATCGCAATCGCAGTTTGGCCAACTTCGACTGCACATTGTAAATATTTTATTTTAACTGTAAAGTAGATGTGATGTTGGAAAAGTTTAGTATGATTCCTTGAAATTTAAACGTTTACTTCTATCACTTAGGTTTTTGTTCAGAATGCTATTATAGGGGGGTATTAGTTTTTCAAACAATCTCAAGCTTTCTAGTGTTCGCCCCCTACACTAGTCATTGTAATTTCCTGCTTTCAAGCAATTAATGATCAATTTACATTCAATGCATTTCAATTTCATGTTACAAGCTTTCTATAAATTATAATCAAATTTTCTTTCGTCCCGAAACGACCGAGAGAAGGCGGAATGTTTTTGAATTATAATCAAATTTTCATTTCAATATTCCTTCATAGATTATTTTCAAATGTTTTTGAATTTTTATCTCCACAATGCTCCTATATTTCCTATAGTTCCATAATATTCTACAATTTTAAGAGTCCTAGTTGTGAATCTGGATCATAGAAATTACGGTGAAGTATATTGTTAGTCACTTGACTTACAACGAAATATTAGGTTAGTCTACCAACTTTATTTGATTTCAAAGTAGTGAGCAAACTCAATATCTATTAGTTTTTTTATGGTACAGATGGTGTGGAAGATCTCATATACTATAAAACTTGCGGATTATAATTGAGTGATCAAACTTAAAACAAAAATGCAAAGTTCAATCGCCACTTCAAAACAAAATAAACTTTGATGCTTTCAATTGTAGAATTGAAGTAGTGAATCAGCACTAGCAAGTTGCAAATTGAAATTCGGTTGATGGTTTTGGTAAGAACCCTTATCTGAGGTAGTCTTTTTATTAATTATGATTGAATT